ACATGGGTTGCCTAACTTTGAAATCAATGCAACCCTTTTTGACAAATTTAACAGCTTCGGTTGCTTAAATTTTAAAAATGGACTGCTTTGATTTCAAAGTTAGGCAGTCCATGTTTTTGAATTTGGGCAAGAAATAATTACAAATTGTTGAAAATTAAAAAGCACATGGGCTGCTCGAAATTAGCAGTCGACTTCTTGAAAAAATTGGAACTATTGAATTTTTTATTATTTTGTAATAGAGATGATTACAAAATTGAGTCATTAAACTTTAGGGTATTTTCAAAGATTAGCCTCTAAGCTTCAACTATAAATACCCTAGCTCATTTAGCTTTAAAATCATCCCAAATAATTTCTTTCTCCCAATACTAGAGAGTTTTCTTGTGAGTAATGAGTGTTTTGTAAACACCTGTAAATTTTCTCTTTTAGTAAAAGATCTGCAGCAGTCCGGAGACGTAGGCAAAATTGGCTGAACACCGTTATCAATTTTGTGTATTATTTTTCCGCTTTTATTTCGCATTCACTAATCTGGTTATAGAGAAATTACTTGTTATTTTCTAATAATTGGTATCAGAGCTTTTGGTTGTGAATTGTGTCAATTTTTGCGATGTTACTATTCATTACTATTTACGTAAATAGTGAATTTCGTGAATAGTAAAAATTTTGTCAGCCATACGAATTTGTTGACAGAGCTGTTCTAATACACGGTGGTTCGCAAGAATTATCATAAACGATCCAAACAAAGTCAGATTCGAGTGGGAGCGATGGCTGCAGACGAAGGGAATGTGAAAATTGAAAAGTTCGATGGTGCGGACTTTGACTTTTAGAAGATGCAGATTGAAGATTTTTTGTACTAGAAAAATTTATATCAACCCTTCTCAGGAAAGCAACCAGAGGGCATGAAAAATGAACGATGGGCTCTTCTCGACAGACAAGCCCTCGGAGTTATCTGACTGACGTTATCCCACAATGTTGCTTTCAATATAGCAAATGAAAAGACCACAGCGGGTCTTATGACGGCTCTCTCCAGTATGTATGAGAAGCTATCGACTTCAAACAAAGTTCATTTAATGAGGCTATTATTCAATTTGTGAATGACTGAAGGGGCATTAGTGGCTCAACATCTAAATGAACTCATCACAACCCAGTTGAGTTCAGTGGAAATTGAATTCAATGATTAAGTTCGAGCTTTAATTCTCTTATCATCTCTACTAGACAGTTGAAATGCTACTGTTACAGCAGTCAACAGGTCGTCGGGAAATAGCAAATTGAAATTCGACGATGTTCGGGATCTGGTATTGAGTGAAGAAATTTGACGGATAGAATCGGGTGAAGTTTTAACCTCCTCAGCCTTACACACGGAGTCTAGAAGGAGAACTTCAGAAAGAAATTCAAATCGTGGCAGATCGAAATCTAGAAGATGAAGATAAAGAACGGGAAAGAAATATTTTACTTGTTATAATTGTAGCAAAAATTGTCACTTTAAAAGAGATTGTCGAGCACTGAAGAAAGATACCGACGCACAGAAATCTGCCAACATAACAGAAGAGATATGTGATGTCATGATTCTAAGCGTCAACAGTCCGATTGAATCATGAATCTTGGATTCAGTGGCATATTTCCACTCCACCTCATGCCAAGAAATCATGTAGAACTATGTCAGTGGTGATTTTGGGAAGGTTTATCTAGCTGATGATGAAACCTTGAAGATCGTCGGAAAAGAAGACATTCGACTAAATTTGCCAAACCATATCACCTGGACGCTGAAAGGAGTGAGACATATCTCTAACCTCAAAAGAAATTTGATTTCTGTAGGATAGCTTGATGGAGAAGGATATAGTACAACACTTTCAGGCTGTGAATGGAAGATTACCAAAAGCGAACTCGTCATTGCTCGTGGTAAGAAGACTGATACTCTCTATGTAACCTCAAATTTAGAGAATATCATTGCAGATGTTGATGGAAAATCAAACCTATGGCACCAAAGGCTTGGCCATATGAGCGAGAAAGGGATGAAAACACTTTTATCAAAAGGAAAGCTGCCGGATATAAAGAATGTAGATGTCGGACTATGCGAGGATTATACATTTGGCAAATAAAAGAAAGTCAGTTTTGCAAAGATTGGCAAGACACCCAAGGCAGAAAAGTTAGAGTTGGTTCATACTGATGTATGGGGACCATCTCCAGTTCCATCTCTTGCATGCTCACTATATTATGTCACCTTCATCGATGATTCATCAAGGAAGGTGTAGTTTTATTTTCTGAAAAAGAAATCAGAAGTCTTTGATACCTTCAAAAATTGGAAGGTCATGGTAGAAAACAAGACTGGTTTGAAAGTCAAGCGATTGAGGTCTGACAATGGAGGAGAGTACATAAACAGTAAATTCAGAGATTTCTACGCAAACAATGAGATTAAGACGGAGACAACAGTTCACATGACACCGCAACAGAATGGCGTAGCAAAGCACATGAACAGAACTCTGAATGAACGTGCTAGAAGCATTAGGATATATGTCGGATTGCACAAATTTCTATGGGCTGAAGCTATCAACACTGCAGCTTACCTGATCAACTGTGGGCCCTCAATTCCTTTGGATGGTGGAATATCAGAGGAAGTTTGGAGCAGAAAAGAAATAAACCTTTCACACTTAAGAGTGTTTGGTTGTATTTCTTATGTACACATAAACTCTGCTGAAAGAAGTAAACTTGATGCCAAGTCCAACAAATGTGTCTTTGTTGGTTATGGTGGTGATGAGTTCGGTTATCGGTTTTGGGACTACGAAAATAGAAATATTATAAGAAGCAGAGACGTCATTTTCAATGAGAATGTGATGTACAAAGACATGTCAACCTAGAATCAAATAGCTCCAATACCGAAGCTGAAACAAAGGAATTTGCTGTGTTTGAAGAGATTTCTGGAAATGATGTTCAAATCAGTCCTGAAGCAGTTCAAGAAGAACCAGGCACACCAGAACTAAGACGTTTCTCCAGAATTCCTAAACCAACCCAGCGTCATTCAAATTCTTTGCACTACTTGTTGACTGATAATGGTGATCTAGAGTGCTATGATGAAGCAATGCAGGTGGAGGATTCAGTCAAGTGGGAGTCTTCAATGAAAGATGAGATGGACTCGCTTATGTCAAATCAGATGTGAGAATTAGCTGAATTACCACCAGGCAAGAAAGCGCTTAATAACAAGTGGATTTACAGGATCAAAGAAGAGCACGATGGGAGCAACGCTACAAAGCAAGATTGGTAGTCAAAGGTTTTCAGCAAAAAGAATGTATTGACTTCAATGAAATTTTCTCTCCAGCCGTAAAACTGTCTACAATCAGACTGGTGTTGAAAATTGTAACTGTAGAGAGTTTACATCTTGAGCAGTTAGATGTGAATACAATTTTCTTTCATGGTGATTTGTAGGAGGAAATCTATATGAGGCAGCCAGAAAGTTTCATAGAGACAGGTAAGAAAAACCTGGTATGCAGGTTGAAGAAGAGTTTGTATGGTTTAAAACAAGCTCCTAGACAGTGGTACAAGAAGTTCGATAGTTTCATGAGTAGCAGTGGTTTTACCAGATTCTAAACAGATCATTGTTGCTACATCAAGAAGTTAGACAACAACTTCATTATTTTATTGTTATATGTTCATGACATGCTCGTTGCAGGTTCAGTCATGCAAGAGATTATAAACTTGAAGTAAAAAATTGTCGAAGCAGTTTGCAATGAAAGATCTGGTCGTTGCAAAGCAGATTCTTAGGATGAGGATCAAGAGAGACACAAAGTCGGAGACTTTGACGTTATCACAGGCTGAGTACATCAACAAAGTACTCTCCAGGATCAACATGCAAGATGCTAAACCAGTAAGTACACCTTTAGGTGTTCATTTTATACTCTCCAAAGAACAGTCACCAAAGACGGAGGAAGAACGTGCACCCATGGTGAAGGTGTCGTATGCCTCAACAATTGGAAGTCTGATGTATGTCATGGTTTGTACCAGACCAGATATTGCTCATGCAGTGAGAGCTGTTAGCAGGTACATGAATAATCCAGGCAAGGTACACTGGGAAGCTGTCAAATGGATCCTCAGATATCTGCGGGATACTACAAACAAAATTTCAAAGGTGGAGATACGATACTGACAGACTATGTAGCTGCTGACTTAGCCGGAAATGTTGACATCAGAAGGAGCACTACAGGGTAAGTCTATACTCTAGGAGGTACTGCAGTGAGTTTGGTTTCTCAACTACAGAAGATAGTTGCTCTCTCCACAACTGAAGCAGAATATGTTGTTGTTACTGAAGCCAGCAAGGAGATGGTCTGGCTCTAAAGTTTCTTGGAAGAGTCAGGCAATAAACAAGAAAACAATGTCTTGTATTGCGACAGTCAAAGTGTTATCCATCTAGCAAAGAATATGTCTTTTCATTCCAGGACGAAACACATACAATTGATATATACGGCAGACATGTTGACAAATACGGTGACTACGGACAAACTGAAGTTGTGTTCAGCTTCAATTGGCATGTTAGAATAAAAGACCATAAATGCTACTGCATTGATCAAGGTGTGAAGACAGATTAAAATCGGTAAGTGGGAGATTGTTGAAAATTAAAAAGCACATGGGTTGCTTGAGAAAAATGGGGCTGTTGAATTTTTTATTATTTTGTAATAGGGATAATTACAAAATTGAGTCATTGAACTTTAGGGTATTTTCAACGATTAGTCCCTAAGCTTCAACTATAAATACCCTAGCTCATTTAGCTTCAAAATCATCACAAATCACTTCTTTCTCTCAATACTAGAGTTTTTTCTTGCGAGTAGTGAGTGTTTTGTAAACACTTGTAAATTTTCTCTCTTAGTAAAAGATCTGTAGCAGTCCAGAGACGTAGGCAAAATTGACTGAACTCCGTTATCAATTTCGGGTATTATTTTTCCGCTTTTATTTTTCATTCTCACTAATCTTGTTATAGAGAAATTACTTGTTACTCTGTTATTTCCAACATGCAGATGGATCTATGTATGCATATGTGGGTGCATAAGCACAAATGTGTATGAATCTGGCCCTTTTATTGTTACATCTTGCAGTTCTTCTTATCCTTCACAGTAAGTGTTACTGAATGTAATTCAATCCTGGTCATGAAAAGGAACCTACAGATTCAGGTGAAGAGACGTACTTTCCTGCTCTGTGTGTTGGTGCAGAGAAGCCCTCTTCTGTGGTAAACTTGTCTATAGTTCCCCAGGCATTAATGTTTCGAACTGATGCATGTGTTTTGATTTCCTTGATTGGAATAATTAACATTTTTCCAATTATTGTCATTACCAATCTGTTATATCATGAAATAATTTTTTCATTATCAGAATTCTGAATCATGAGTGAGCCCTTTTTCTCTTGAAAAGGTGGCGGTTCAATTATTTACTCTCTCAATGGGTTTGACATTGCATCCCATACCATTCGTCCCTTAATAATTGTAAAGTTTATGCATATTAAAGTTTCTAAAGTTCTATATTTTCTGTTGTAAAAGGGCTCATGGTGCATTAGAGTTTATTGCATTTTCTCAATATTTTAGTTTGATTTTTTAATTGGATTTGTTGTCATTCTGGATAACCAAACTAGGAATCCACTTGATGCGGAGTTCATCCCATTGGATAGTAACATTGTGCCACTTTACGATCGTGGGTTTGCAATGGGTTTGACTTCAGCAGATGCTTCAAGTAATTTGGAAGGGTAAATAACTTCTGTGATTTTGTAAATATTGTTTGTCATGTACATGGATATTGACATGCAAGTTTGTTATATGCCTTAAGGGCCTATTTTATGTGCTTGCACAACCCACCAAAAAAAGGATAAGAATAATTATGTCGACAAGTAGCAGTGGTAGGTTGATTGTTAATCTGTTAACGTTCCAGTCACCAGTTTGAATTATCAAAAAACTATATTTCATAGTAAGGAAATTTTTTATTGCCAATCAATTCTATTAAATTCCAGAAAAAAATAGTCTCTTAGCTTGGTTGATATAACTATAAAAATGGTGCATCTTGTCTCCTGTAGGTCTCTCCTATGTCTATGCCTGTGATTCCACCCTCCACCTTAAATGTTAAACTTTTCTTACCTATTTGTGTTGCATGTTGCAGAGGCCCAGAGATAAAAGAGGCTTCCCGTTGTTTCAACTGTGGTTCTTATAGTCATTCCTTGAAGCAATGTCCAAAGCCTCGTGACAGTGTTGCTTTCAACAATGCTCGAAAGCAACACCAAAAGTTAAAGCATATTCAGAATGTTGCTTCTCGCTATGCAGTTCGCTATTATCAGAGCACTCAAGGTGGAAAGTATGATGATATAAAGCCTGGAGTGCTTGGTGCTGAAACACGAGAACTATTAGGCCTTGGGGTAATGTTCTCCTTCAATTCCATGACAACTCCTCTGCACCCTTCTTTTTGTGGTACCTAATGATGCACCTAAATATATTACATGTAAATCGACTAGATTTTTTGCTTACAGTTCTAAAGTTCCTGGTCATCATACATTTGTAATCAAAGAATCAACATCCTATTCCAAAAGCTTTTTCTTGTTTTCATTTAGTATTATTTCTTCATTGTATGCTTAGGATTAGTGGGAAGCATGTACACTCCATTAATTGGTACCAAGTGTAGCTGATAAATGCATTCCACCTGTCTTTTGTTCTTATTGGCCATGGGCCAATGACATAATCTACATGGCTTTTGAACACTTTTTATTTTTGTTCATTATGAGCACCGACTCTTGGCATATTCAGCTCATAAAACAGTAGGAAATGTAGTCATTTTTAAGTTGTTGAAGTCTTATTTGGCTGTTATAGATGCATAACTGAAGTCAATGGAAAAAGAACGGCAGTCCCAATTATGTCATTATCTATGGATGAATATATTAACAAGAAATAGATGTTAATTCCCTATTTATTTCCTTCCACAGGAGTTTGATCCACCACAATTGGAAGAAATTGCAATCTGCTGTCTCTGAAGGGCCACGCCATTTGCCCCAAGCCCTCAACTATTTGGCATCTTGTGTGGAAAATAGTTTTTGGACACATACACGATGTGTCATATTAGTTCACATATAACAGAGAGCCAAAAAACTATTATCAGTTAGTTGCTGCAAGTAATTGGAGCAATAATATCCGAGGGGCCCCACATCTTCATCAAGAAAGTAGAATATGGAAGCAAAGTGTTTGGTTGAAGGAAATTAGGAAATGCATGAACGCAAAAAATCTTATTGAATTCCTGGCTACATAAAAATGGCTTCCCCTTTTAACTCTTACGTTCTATCTTCTGATCTCAAACCACCGTGTCTAAGATTGAACCATTGTATGCCTGTTTAAATTGTGTTAGCAGCTTAAACATTATCCAAATAATACTTGTAAATTATAGTTCTCTTATGATCATAAAATTGAGCATCTCTAAAATTTTCAGTCACTGAATGTGAGGATGGACCATCTGGAATTACAATATATGCTGATGCAGAAACTGATGGATAGAAGATGGGAAATTGCCAAAATGGTGCAGCATGAACGAAGGATGAAAATGACCGTTGAATTTCCAGGAATAAATGCACCCTTCCCTGCAGAGGCAGATGGAAAATTTAGGCTCCTGGTCCTTCAAGTTCAGAACTGTTTAGGAGTAGGTCACAGTCACAATATAGATCAAACCATTCTTCTGAACCTGGCAGCAGAGGACTCAAACAAAGGTATTATGGCGATTTTGAAGATGAAGGCCCTCCCGGAGTTGACTTTAGATTTAGCTCGCCCTACCCCCCAAGGTATGATGAAAAACTTTGGGCTCCTGGTCCTTCAAGTTCAGAATCGTTTAGGAGTAGGTCACATCCCACTATAAATTAAACCATTCTAACCATTCTTCTGAACCTGGCAGCAGAGGGCTCGAACGAAGGTATTATGGTGATTTTGAAGATGAAGGTCCTCCCGGAGTCGACTCTAGATTTTGCTTGCCCTATCCCCCAAGGTATGATAATTATGATTCTGCTTACAGTTTTCCAACTCCAAGAGGTCCTATTTCAAGGCCACGAAGCCCACCCTGGGGGAGGTGCTATTACAAGAGGGGTAGATGGAGCCCTTGAAGTATAAAGATTTTGCTAGTTATGGTTCCTATAGTTCTTTAAGACATTCACCATGGTCTCATGGTTCAACCAGATATGAAAATGAGTTTGATGATAGATGGGATAATAGCTACCAGGAATATTCATCTTTGTTTGGATATGAATATCACAGCCGATGGTGAACGGCATTGTTGTAGCTTTTGATTTTGTCACTAGATATGATTGTTGAGCAACCATGATGCCATAACTTGTAAGGATATCCTGCTACAAGTCTATTGCAGTAATTGGTTGTAAATTTATCTTAATGTTGTTATTTGCAATTGGAAGAAGCATGTATCACTTATTTATAAATTTATTTTAATGTTGTTCATTGTCGCCACCGTGCCTAATCTCTTAATCTCAGCGCCAGCACTGAATTAATCGCATCGCCCATCGAGAGGTAGCCTGAACGCCTATTTTTGAAGCACATCCATGTAAGAGTATAGAGATAAAATCCCCTCTATATATATAAGCCTTTGATATATACATATTTTTATCGAAGTACCTTATGGATATTCAAGGTATCTTTTTCTCCATTTTGAGAGATGAATAATTAAGTCAAACAGAGACAAAGCATGTTTCAAATTCTCCACCAACATATGGTTTTACAAAAATGGGATAAGAAAGTTGATGCCTGAAAATGGGTACCTATCAGGCTAGGGAAGGGCTTTGTGATACAAAATCCCCAATATCCATGTTTCTCAAATGCAACTTTCAAAGCCTAAACTTGAAAATGGGTACATCTGAGGCTGGTACTAACTTAGTTTGGTTTCAGTTGGGTTAACTTACTACCTTCGCTACCTTCCTTTGCTGGATTTGGCCAGTCAATGGGCACTGCATCTCGGTCCAACTTATTGGGACCATTGTTGCACCTACAGTCGATAATGAAGCAGAAAAAGAGGAGTTTGAACACACAATACAGGGAACTTACAAAAATAGAAAGCTAATAAGTATAGGACTACTACAAACGTCTATGCTTCGGGCCAAAGTTGAAAAGAGAAGGGAGAACAGCTGAGCTCTCGGCAGACACAACACCTAGTTCATTCTTAGCCGTTGATAGGTAATAAGCCCGCGCATCTCCAAGAGAACTTAATAAAGGAACCACGTTAAGGAAATCTAATCACATGACAACAAAATAAATGGCAACAAATTTCTTGAATTTTAAACTGACTCGCTCAAGGGTTAAGATCTACAAATAAGACAGTGCTACAATATAAAGGATACAACCACAGCTCTGACAATATCACCAGGATGAAATGACGAATGCATATCCACCTTGTCCATTTCAGTTGCTCTAACATCCTGTTGCCTGTTAAAATGAACAATCTTTCAATTAATGCATATCGCTCTAGAAAGATCTAGCCAGAAGTACATAAAATTTATCAAACATTTGAACATTTCATGGACTCTATGCAACTCAAAAGTGAAGGAAAAACAGCATGTTTTAAACTTATAATAGATAGAGTGAGGATATGGTAAACTCCAACAGCAGAATTTCATCAAACCATCAAGTCCAAATACTTGGCTGTATGGAACGGCTAGCTGCTGAACATGGCGTTTATTACATGAATCATGGGCTACATCAAAATACAAATATCTCAAGAACAAATTGGTTGTACGACCTTGGGTTCATAGAACCGAAGTACACCATGTGGTTCTAAATGGAAATGCGACAGTTCTTTCATTTTATAAAGAGAGGGGAGAAGGTGTATATAGTTGTTGGGATAACTAATCAATTGGAATCGATAACTGAATGTGAAATGATTAAATCATTTTCAAATGCGGAAATTCAACCTTAGTCAAAATAAAGGGGTAAAGAAGACTGCGTACCTAATTATTCCGGTGAATTTTTCTCTCACGGACTTCGGACCAACACACATAATATCAGCTGAAGCTGTCCTAGCCATCACCTTAGTAACCTGTTTTATTCAAATAAAAATCACATTTTGATTCCACAACGTAAAATTATGCTTGTTTGAAAAATGATAAATCCAAAACTTACTCGGGCAATGACAACCGAACCAGGTTCCGGTACAGGACCATGGGCTTTGTGACCAGTTACTTCCACAGTTGGTCTCTGCAAATGATTTTGATAAAATATTATCAATAATAATGTCCAGAATAGTGAGACAGTTTATAGGCCATTAATTTTGATTCACCAAAGCACTAATTCAAGTAAAAGACTAAAAGTATGGTTTAAAGAATGAATTATACCTACCTAAACAAACAAGAACATATTCCATCCCATGGAGACAAGGAAAAAAGAGAGAAGAATTTATGTAAGCTAAATCATAAAGTTAAAACCTTTGAGAATATTTGTAAGAATAGCATAATAAAAAAATGGTAAAAAATGTTCAAAGTAATCAAAATAAGAACCCCAAAAATTACATCGAGAAACAACTTATACCAAAGGAAAAACAATCATGGGTTATATTAATTCAAGCTAAAACTCTCTCATAAAGTTAAAACCCAGAATTTTCATTAATGAAATAATAGAAAAAAATAAAAGGAAAACTATGGTGTTAAACTATTGTAAACAAAAAGAATAAAGACCCAAAACCTGGTCAGGAGAATCGGGAGGAGGGGGCTGGATGCGGCGGAAGCCGGTGAGGGAAGCGTATATGGTGTTGTTTTGAGACGCGACGTACGCTCCTTTCCCTGCTTTCAGCTCTGTGGCTCTTCCCAGTACCTCTCCCGGCGTTACCATCTCATCTGATTTTTCCATTTTTTTCCCTTTCTTCGAAGCTTTCAGCAATGAGAAACCCAAACTCTGCCTTCGCTTGCTTGCTGCTGTTTCGTGCGGCTGCTTTTACTTCCTAATACAATTCTCAACTCAATTTTTGTTTCATACAAATTTAATTGATAAAAAAAAATATAAATTATTAAATGTTATTAATTTATTTCACTAAATTTCATATTTTTTTTATTTTTTATGTCATCGAAAATAATTTTAGTTTACATTAAAAAACATTTGGTAATCAAGCATATTGTATTTAATTTTTTAATCAAAAGATAATGAACATTTAAATATGTTTATGGGTCTGCCGTTTTGATATGTCGTTTTGGTTCGTCGTTTGGCATGTCTTTGCTTTATTCTTCTTCACGATTCTCAGATTACTTTGTTGATATTATTTGTGTTTGAATTACTATATTTCTGTGCAGAAATTGAACATTTAAACTTGCTTACATTACGGATGTTATGGAGGATTTTAACCATAACTAAAGATGAAGAACAACCACTTCCACTTGGAGGAAATTTAGAGACATTGTCAATTGGTTAAAGATGGTAATAAAAGGAGAGAAAAAATACAGTAGAATTATGAAGAAGAAGAAGTAAATGTATAGTGTTTATCAATGGCGATAGATACATCCCAAGTACAAGTAAGACTTTGAGTGATAATAACAAGATCACATGTCTCAAATTCTACATATGATCCTTTTGGATAAACTTTCACTTTCCCTCTCATCAAATAACAAAATTTCAACATATATTTCTCAGGAGGACATCTCATCTACCATAAAAACAAACCCACAAAATCATAATCATTAAAAAAACTTTTAACAGTTACAAAACATATGACTTTTGATTTGTACGCCTACTTTGGCCATGATTGAATACCCAGCTCAGATAGTCGAGCATCGGTAGGGTTGCTTTCGACTGTGATGCTTAAATCAGAAGACGAATCTGATTCTGGTGTTGATGTTGTCGCCATGGATTCGAAAGAGGATGCGGGACTGAATAAAATAAAAGAAGAGTTGGCCAAGTACACAGCATTAACAAATGGTCGTTGGTTTAGTCTTTATATAAAAAAATAATGATACAGGTTAGCTTAGCTGCCAGGACACGAAGGAATCTTTCCGTGGAAAGAAAGTTGTTATTTACTGCAAAAAATTACCACCATACACAAACAATCGCATCGCTCATACTTGCTAAACGAATCACTAATATTATATTTCCATTCTCATTTTAATTTCTTATTTAGTTTTCGTTTATAATATGTGTTGCAAACTATTGATTAAGAAAATAAAAAATTAAATTTATTCAAATCTCCTGAAAAATCCCACAAAACAAATTAATCACTCCACCCAATTGTCGTATATAATGTGTTTGATGAAATTAGAACATAAAAGATTTTCTAATAGTTTGGATGAGCGAAAGGTAGTATTCATCCATTATCTTTTTTAATTATTAACAACGCTCACATACTCTTTAGATACAATTCTGCTCGAACCTGAAACATTCTATGGAGAACGTCACTTCCTTTTATCATTAAGTTATTTACTAATTTCAGAATATAAAAGTTTTTAAAGTTCAATGTATTATATTGATTATTAATTTAGAGTTCAGATTAATTGCATTAATTTTCTATAGAAGATAGGGTTTATAAGCAATATGTTTTGAAATTATATATAATTTCCTTAATGTTGTTTTAATTTATTAGTTTAATTATATTTATATGTGACACGATTTTGAATGTTAAATAAATAATATGAATACTAAATTTTGAAATTGTATAATCCTTTGAATTATTTGTGGATTATTTTAGTTATATCTAAAAATAGTTACTTTTTCTTTAATTTTTTATATGGATTATAACATCCTCAAGATTCACTTGACTTACTTAACTTTAATTTTAAAATCTTAAAATTATAAAACAAAATAGTAATTTTAAGTGATTTAATTTTTAATTATAAAAACCATTTAATTATTTTATTAGTGTATATTTTAAGTAATTTTGAATTGGTATAATCGCAATAATAAACGTTGCTTCTAAAATTAATTCATCCTTTTAAATATCATATAACCAATGTGAAAAAGTAAAATCCAATCAGATTTGCTCAATTTAAAACCGAAATCAAGACGAGATAAAAAGAATAATCATAATTTTTCTTCTACTTAAATATGACCCATATCATATGAAAAAGGGTTATGTCTTGTATGAAAGTAGTAGAAAGATAAAACTGTCAAACGATAGCTACCCACCTCATTCACTTCCTAGATATGAATGATCCATTCTCTAAAATTAGAATTTATTAAGTGATTTCACTAATTAAATAGACTGTTGTTTTTCCTTGAGATTTAGAATTTAATTTTGTTTAACTATACAGATACAGTAATACTATGTATTTTACAGGCAATTAAAGAGCTGAAAGTCATGGGGATAAGTAGCATGATAATGGGTGTAACTTCACATGGCTTATCAAGTGAGATGCAAGATTTCATGGAAGCTACCATGGATTATTACTTTGAAAAATCTTAAGTAAATATAATAATAAACACAAATCTATGCAGGATCCGAGTTACGTGGTCGAATCTCATGACCATCACCCGAAACTTTACCAGCCTCGAGAAGTTTGCACAATTATACCCGAAACATAAAGGGTTCATTTCTCTTCTTTTATACTAGTTGAAATATATGCAGGGGAGATACATGACGTGGATTTTTTTTGAATAGTCTAATAAATCCTTGAGAGCTCTGAATCCGTGTGTCTATGCATGCAAACAATATTTAGTTAGTGTTTCAGCAATGGTAATCCATCGAAATGATACAATTTTTAAAGTTAATCAGCCACAATTCATAAACAGATAGTAGTGATTATCAATGGATATCAACATTGTGAATAAAAAATAATATCTTTTAATAATATGCTTCAATAAGACAAAGTAAAGGTTCATATTCGATAAAGATAAATGTATTAGATGATTGATAAATATGAGAAATAAAACAATAATAATAAGAAGAATACTATTAAATTGAACATACCAAAATAATAATAATAATAACAACAACAACAAAATAGATGCATTTATTTTTACAGTGCGGTCCATTATCTCTTAAGATATAACATGTATCGCCCATATCATGAGAGTACACCCAAACTAGGGACCAATTTACAACAATTCACATAGTTGTACTTGTGCGCAAGACAAAGTCTTGTCTTGCATATACTATAACTCTCAAAATGGTTCATATATATAAACATATCTTACACTTGCTAACCCATTGATGTGAGATATAAATTTTTCATTTTTCTTGACATAATTAATTTTTTTTTCCGCTCAACAATTGAATTTTGTTAATAATAGAAATTAAAGACAAAGATACCTACGTGAAGGGAAAACTAATGAATCACTTGACCAGATAGATACAAAAACAGACCATTACTGATAAATAAACAAAATCATAACACTATTTAACCTGAAACAAAGTCGTCACAAAATACTAGACCATAACAACTTTCTCAAACTCTCACAAAACACAAGGAATTTACTTTGACCATTAATTTATAATTCATCACTCGACCATTAATTTCTCATTCATCACTCAACAATTTTCAGCATATGATATATTATTGTAAAGGTTCTATAGAGTAAAATATAAAATCATAATATTATGATTCAAATCTCTATCTTTATCCATTGAAAATATGTCTCAAAATTTTTAAAATTTATTTTCCCCAATAGATCGTTTTCAATTCATTTAATTGTTGTGGCATAATGGTTATGGTAAATAATATGAAAAGCTAATATTACACAAGATATTCCAGTAAATAATTTTTTTGACAAAATTCATTTAATCTAAATAATATTTAGATTGTATTTTATATTAAAATATCATTTTTTATTAAGAGAAAAGCGTTACAAAATAATATTTGTTCTAAGTACTTTCAATCATGCTATTTTCTTTAGAAAACCACCAGCCGAAGCCATCTTTGCATAAGTTTAGACGCATAAACTTTGAAGATCATGAAAACATAAATATTCTTTCTACTTACTTAAAATTATATAACATGTTATAACATTTTTTTAAGATTTTAGGAATTGGTTAAATTCATCTATCTTAATTTTAAATTAAAAATGATACCATTCGTATATTAGTATTAATATTGTTTTTTTTATTGAAAATAATTCACTAAATCTAAATCCAAATTTCGATAGTTAGAATATATTCTTGATTGTGAAAAGTAATTAAAAGTCCTTCTTTCATGTTATCTGAGTCCAAATAAATTAGTTTTTTTTAATAAAAAATCTAAGATAAATACAAAGTAATATATGTTCGAATACTTTAATTATTTAACGTTGAACGCTCATACTTTTAATATTTACGGTGCTTGAAGTTAAGACTTTAAAAGTTAACAATTAATTTCTTAATTACTGAGATCAATTGTAATTATACGACCTTGTAATTATAAAGAATTACAATTTATGTATACATAATTTGTAGAAAGTATACTTACACATAATTTAATGTGATCAAGTTAATTAAAAAATTAAATAAAAAGATTCAAAAACTCGTTAATTAATTGTACGCGTAATTATATTACAATTTTTAAAATTAAATAATATAATCGATATTTCAATCATTTAGTTCAGTAAAATTTATTAATTATAATCATTATCCAAACATAATTCATTAATATAACGATAAATAATTATATTTAAATTTAATTAATTAATGGAGCTCCAAACATACTTAAAATAATTATATTAATTCTTATAAACACAAAATGTTTTACACTTCTTAAAAACTGTGAAACTAATAATGCCTAATAACGACATGACGACATGGTTTTCGTATTTGCTCACAACAGAATGTTTTTACTAGAAATTTTCCTATTCTGTTTGGCAATGTATGTGAGTAAAATTTTATTTTTTATTTTTATTTCATATGCAAATATAAAGCACTTTTATATTATTAATTTTTTACCGGGTAAAAATTACTCTCTTTTATTTTTTTATAGGGCCAATACCGTAAAGAAGCTTACCAGTTTAGTATCAAAAACAGATCATCAAACATTCAAACTAGATACGTGTCA